ACAATCAAGAGGACTGTATACTTTTCGAATACAAACGGTTTATTACAATCTAGATCCAACAATCTAATACAATCATGTTCAACGATCAGAGACCGGCGAACTCACACCCAATCCTACGTTTACAGAAGTTTTTCTACCACACGAGACAGTAATTTTCCAGTATTCACGTGTACAGTAATTTTCCGAGCTCACAATATTGTAATGCACCTAAATTAAGCTATTATTGAAAAATAACACGTTCTTCGTCCTTATTTGGTTCAGTAAATTCACTAAGAACTCTGGTCACAAATTGTGAAATATCGAGACTATTCTTATTCGTTAAAAAGTTCATGTTATGATGTAGTCATATGTTTCTAATTAATTTTCATAAAGTTAATAGTAATCAAATGACGCTTATCGGATTTCTTTTCCGACAAGATCCAAGGCCAGGGGTCTCTGAACGTCGATGACTGCCATTTCAAAAACATATCGCCCAGGCGGTGCTATTAAACCGAGGTAGAGACTAGGCACTAAATAAGGCCTACCGCAGGGGAAAACGAGACGCTAAGGGAGCGTTTCAACTTCGGCGTCGTGGTTGTGGAAGTAACTGTGAATGCGGAGGAAGAGTAAGAAAGGATATTTTCCGGATACCCTTCCATACAAATACCCTAACTTTTCTCCTTCTGAGTAACAGACGTCTTAACTTCTTCACCGGATGTCTGCTAGGCGTATGACCGCGTGGCTGTAACCCAATTCGAGTGTAATTTCTGCCATAAATAAATTGCGCATGACGAGATCTCAGTTCCACTTCCTTTATTTTTTCTACAATAACACTTCCCTTATGCAGGGCCGTAGGAGTAGGGGGGGCCTAGTAGGCCCGTTTGCCCCCGCCCCCCCTACTTTTTGGGCGAAAATTTCCAAAAAAGAAGACTACCACTTTACCTTCGAAGATACTGAGTCACCAAAATAACAGAACGCAATTTCTTTTTGGATTTTAAAAAATATGTTGTCACCTGGGCTACTTTTTTAACCTCTCAAGTCCGTTTAAATCCCTGTAATGCTAGAAAAGCACATAGATGGAGGACAATCTGACGCACCTTTTCCCGGAACTGAACAGATTGTAACAAATGTATATATTTTGAAGCCTTGGACTTGTTAGTGAACGGGATCACGTTACGAGCCACAAGGTCGATTTTCGTCCACGCACCAGGGATCCTTAATTTCCATGGAGCTAACCAAAAAATAGACTCAAGTAACTACAAAGCGCTATTCTTGTAATTAGTTCACACATTTCCTTGTGCACCTCAGGCGTGCACATTAACCGCTTTCTGTCAATTCATCTGTCAATAAACTCATTTTAGGACGGGTCACAAATTTGCATCAAATATCAGAACTTGTCCACTGCCTGCCGAATTTATACCATCGGAGCGAGGTATTTCAACTCAGCTATGGTTCTCGTCGAAATCGCTTAATGAAAATACTTGAGTTCATGGTTCGTGTTACTGAAAAGGGTCTTGTTGCAAAGTCTTGGAATAAAACAGATATTTTTATTTTCGTTAAGCGAATGGCAAAATCTAGCGACTTAAGGTCGAATCGAACATCCCGTCAAAGTAATATTCAGTGCGTTACGTGGTAAGTTACATATTGTGCCGTAATGGTTTCACTAGGTCAACGTGAAAAAGAGTTCTGGATTTTATCTGGCATTTTGTCCGAACAACATAAGCAGTGTTCGCCGATAAAAGGTAAGGGAGAACTTTATTATTTAAAATGTAGAGTGGCAGGTTGTTATGGCTCTCGCATGTGGAGTTCGAGCACATCATTCAGGCGGTTTGACGACACAAATCATGGTTGCAGAAAAAGCTAGACTGTTCACAGTCCCCTATTTTTTTCGTGTATACCGCGTCTTACCACCACGGCTATCTTGATTTTCAAATGTACCGAGGGAGTAGGCGTCGGGGATTATAGCTCTAGGTGTGTGTGTGTGGGGGGGGGGGGGGGGGGGGGGGG